GCAAGTCACCTATTTGATATAAAGGCGCATGATAGAAACAAAAACAAATGGAAATTAAAATAAGTGAGAAGGTTTCGGAAGCCAACAAATGTAAATGCACAAGGTAGCACCATCAACTCCAATTCACCAAAACTCCTCCCTCATCAGCTTCAAAGGCTTACTCATTTACAATTCAAAGGTTTACATAATTTACAACGACAATGTTTCAGATACCATGTAGTCCTGCGTACAACACACTGTAAAAAAGTTCAGATCAATTAGTTTTGTACAGATCAAGTAATACACCCCGTTTTGGATCCGAATGATTTTTTTTCCGCGGCACAATCCGAATAATGATTTAAAACGGAAATGACAACACTACTCATTGCCATCTCTAAAACACAAAATTTTGAAGCCCATAAGAGAAAGCCGAAATACAGTTCCAACACTAACAAAAACAAATGTTCAATATCATCATATCACAATACAGTGTGAACGCTTCCAGCAGGCCCTAAAAATATTGGAGATATATTGCCATTTAAGAGTTATAGGTTTGATCAGTGACAAGTACATGAGGATTCATTTTCTAGTGTTACACCAACACAAATCTGTCTTCGACATCATTAGAAGATCACCGCAATAGTTACAATGCCCATATACTTAAGTTTGTAAAATTTACACACACTACCCATTACATATACCATTGCCCATGCCCATTACTCTATGAGGTAATACTTTCGATTTTTGAATACATAACTACATAATTCGATGCAGATTAAGATCTCCTGACATTCTTCTATTCACGAGCAGTTTGTGTCATAACTTGCAAGTCCCAGCAACTCCGGGCCTTCCAACCGAGGGTTATTTGCAAAGCTACAGATTGAAGCAAAATAAGGTCATCTCCCGTATTGGAGGGAAAAAAAAAAAGGCAGGAAAACAACAAGTTGGTAGAGAAATAAACTCTTAAAGAGAACGCAAAAAATTTTTATTTTCCAAATCAATGGACTGTATGCTGCCGGTGATTGATATTTTTTTTTTTAAAAAAAAAAAAGGCCTAATAGGAAAACATTATTGCACTTTTCCAAATCAATGGACTGGAAGTTGCTGGGATAGCTAAAGGAACAAATCAGGATTTCTGAAGATAGATAATTGATCTCCCAAGGATACAGAGTTTCAGGCACAAATACCAATTAATTCAAGCAGAATTCCTATCCTTGTTCAGGGGGTCAACATAATCTCAGTTTTTCTGTACTTGACAGTATGTGAGACGATCAGAGTGTATGATACACTTCTCATCTCATGCGTTTTACAATGATAATTGGTAATACACAATCAACTCAAAAACAAGGATAGCAAAACAAGAGCAATGAGGCAGCATGGTGAACAAAAATGACCAGAAGAAAAATGGAATAGCAATGAGGCAGCATAGTCATGGCCGTTTTACACCACATTTTATACTTCCTACATTCAATGGCATTCTCTTCTAGTCATTTGCAAACCCAGCACCAGTGGGCATGAGCACACAGAATGTTTATCTGAATCAAGTTGCGAGAGAGAAAAACAATAACTTTGGGCAAAATTTTGAAAACGTGGTATGCAAGATAGACTACAAAAGGTAAAATCACATCTATGGCTTTAGTAGTCCACATGGGAAGCATATGAAGATGCAAGCAACATATTACTCAAGAAGCAACACAAGGGCACAAATGGCAGTCTAATGGCAGACACAGGAAGATCCTAAATGTTTAAGGAAGAGAGAGAGTGAGGGAGAGCGAAGGAGCAGCAAAATAAAGTGCTAACTTTCCAAGTTAAAAATAAGATATATTTGAGAACATACTTTGACAATGGAATATGCTCAAATGGTCCGGTTGTAGGAATTGTTCCGCACAGATCATTGTTGGAGACATCCCTGGAGAGAAAAAGAGAATGTTAAGATTGTTTACTTGTTTTAAAGCACAATGGACCATAAAACCACCAAAGAATCGTGACAACATATAAAAACAGTTCAACTTACACTACTTTAAGGCTCGAAACAGCAGCAAGTTCCCTAGGGATTGGGCCAGTCAATCTGTTGTCATTAAGACGTCTGCAAAGAAGATGATGATAAGAGAAATGCAATTTGCTGAATTTGTATGACAACCAAGAGTAGCAAGTAGGCATTAGAACATTGTGTCACCACCAAATAATTTAGAATAGTATCAATGGTTATTTGCAATTGCTTAAATCATTATCTACTATATGTTCATATTGACAACTTCTTGGCATTAATAGGATTTTTCAGCTATCAAGTTTGGATCAAATAAACAAATCTTGGGACTCGATGAATCCCAGTTTAAGCACATTGCTGCTGCCCCCAGGGATCAATTTCAGTGAATTGAGGTCAAATAGTCTTTCTTTTAATTGCCCATATGTCCTCCTTTGTTAACTAAGCAAGATACCACCTTTCATTCTTTCCGAGATCAATCCCTCCACTTTGACCCCTTCCAAACAATGACTTAAAGTTCGTGTGTTGCAGGAGCTTAATGCATCATTTCTTTATGTATTTAATGTAGCAAACATTATGCCACATAATGCTCAATTATATCCCTACAAGATCAATCCCTAAACAGAGTCTAAGATTTTTTTACTCTCTGCACCCCCGCCAAACATTCAAGAAACCATGCAACTAAAGAATCTGAATGCGCACAGTAAATTATAGTTGAAAATTGAAATTTTCCCAGGGACGAAAGAATACTAGAGCCAAGCACAACCCAACCAACTATGCTCAAGAGGAGTCATGAATGAATTTAAGCGGACTTACAAAAAGACGAGGCTCTTCAACTTCCCCAATGAAGGAGGAATTGTCCCTGATATGTTGTTGTTATAAAGGTCCAAGCTAATGAGACTCTTGAGGCTTCCAAGCTCTGAGGAATAGTTCCTTGAATGTTATTTTTGTACAGCTCACTGCAGCAACAATAAGCATATAGCTTGGAGTCGATAATCGATATCAATGAAAATTATAAAAATACTGTAATACACAACAATAACAAATATTTGGGCATTTCAAATATTTGGAGTCCATCAATACACAACGATCAACCATCAGAATCATCCGAGACAACATACAGATACTGTAGATGCTCTAAGTTCCCAAGTTCAGGTACCAGATGTCCAGATAGGTTCGAGTTACCAAGATCCCTGCAGAAAGCATCATAAGTATGTTAGCATAAACTCGAAAAGTGAGAGAAGCAGACCGCTTTCAATCAATTCCGTAATTTGGGTCACTCTTTCAACATCAAGTGGGGAACTGATAGCAAAATCAATCTTTCTCAGGGGCACTATAGCTCAAGTCATAAACAAATCTAGATACAGATCAAGTCCACAACTCATGAGATATTGTTGGAAAATAAACATGTATTGAGACCGTATGATATGCAGAACCTGAACGGGGGTATCACAGAGAACTACCAACAGCAAGTCAATAAACATGATAAGATGTAGTTAATCACAAACAGTCAAAAGTAGAGACATTCGCAAATTGACCGCAAACATCTATTTGTAGAAGCGGGTAATGAAATTCAGCCCAACCATAACTTCATTCAACCCCCAGAATAATGAAAGATAAAGAAAATAGAAGCTATCCAGAGCATAAGTATATCAGTAGTATGTATGATGTACTTTCCTCCCTCTTCATGGAGCCTCCTCCTTGAGCCGATCCATGATAACCACGTGATTCTGAAGTCAAATAACACTGACAGAGCTCAACAAGAACAGAAATATGCCAAGACGCTTGAGCATACATGTCTTAGAGACGGCAAAGGAGGCAGTAAAATCACAAAAAAGCAAGCAATTAACAAACATATTGCAAAAGGAAGATCCTCCAATACAAAGAAGGTAGGCTGCAGACTGGCCCCATTAAGCATAACAAGCAAATTTCCAATCCTTTCCCTTGGAAAAGGAGAAGGAAAATAAAAAGGATGAGTTATCACCACTAAACAACATTAACAACCAACAAACGCAAGAAAACACAGCCAATAAAGAAGGATAAAGGGCATACACTCGAGTGACCCGACCATCCTGGTTGCAGGTGACATGGAACCAGGTGCAAGGGTTAACAAGAGTGGGATCCCAGCTCTGAAGCACGTTATCGGGATCCGATAAGCTCCGCCGGAGGGTGTAAAGTGCGTCTCCTTCGGAATTGGCAGAAACGAGCTGAGCTATGGCTAGGGCTAGCGAAAGACAGAAAAAGCCCCAAAAGGAAGTCAAGCTAGGTGCTTCCATGGCTGAAGCTCCTCTGATCCGCGATTACTCCAAGGTGAAGCAGAAGCAGAAGCAGAAGCAGAAGCACCTTCTAGGGTTCGCTTTGCCCCTTCTAATCCGCCAACGAACGCTGCAAAAGCTGTGAGGGTAGGCTTTAGAGGGAAATGGAGAGTCAAAAAGAATCTAATCTAATAACACAGTAGTAAAACTTGGAGGCTTTTTCATGCGAATCACTTTATATATCTTTTCTGCTCTCATAATTTGGGTTTTCAATTTTTCAACTTAACCATGTTGCGCAATTTATTTGTAGTTTGCCGCCTTTTAATTTTTACAAACATCTCAACGTTGATGATTACTAGGCTGTCTAAAATTTTGTTTCATATACTCTGCATTTTTTAATATACAACTTAATTAATTTAAGTAAATTTCTGGTCAAAAAAATTAAGTAAATTAAAAATATTAGTTAACTTAATTAATATGATATGTTTTTTTTAAACATCTTAAGTATTTTTTTAACTCCCTCACTCCCTCTTCTATTTATTATTGTTGGAAGAATAAGATTAATTTTAAAAAAATTAACAAATATATGAAACACATTTTATATAGGGAGAATCCTGATTAAATCTTATTGAAATATTCAAATCCAAATTAAGGCCTATATTTTTAACAAATCCCTAATTAGGCCAATAGGCCTTGTTAGGAATTTTTAAATATTATTTAAAGACTACAATGCCCTTTTATAATGTAAAATAATATTATTTTGAAAAAATTTAAACCATGAAAACTTTTCATTATATATAGTATTTATTTATACAAAATGTTTTACATAACAAATGGGAAAATACTAAGAGCAAAAAATTGACAATGCATAATATAATATTTTATACTAATTCTGATATATTGATAAGAAAATTATGAGAGCAGGGATTTTTTTTTTGGTAATGGGAATAGGACTTTTTAATTACTTGATTCCAACAATATTAAATTAATAACTTTTCAAAGGAAATTTTTTTTCTTATAATTGAAAAATCAGAGTCTTAATGTATTAGTATATTTCAATATCAAATTTGTCATTTCTTAAATTCTTTGTCATATCTACTATATAAACGCTCTTATATCTTATAATCCTATTGCTAACATTCTTACTAATAATTAATATGAGTTTGTATTAGAAATTTAAATAACTTTTTCAACATTTCATGGGATGGATAGAGTAATATAAACTTCTTAATATAAAATTATACAAAAAAAAAAATCATACATTTTACTCTGTTAACAACATATAAAGTAAAAACACGTGAAGCTAATGGTTCATTTAGCGGCATCTCAAGGAAAAAAGTTTAAATTATAAATTGATTGGCCTAATTACCAATTTGCTACTTTAAATGGGTATTTTAGTCTTTTAAAAACATTCAAAAATCCCCAATAAAGCCTCTTGGCCTAATTAGAAATTTGTTAAAATTGTAAGCCTGAATTTGGATTTTGATATTTTAACCAGATTTAATTGAAATTCTCCCTTTTATATATATGATTAATATTAATTTTTTAATTAGATTTTATATTAAGGATCGAAAAAATACACATATAATACTACTACTTTTGGTTTTTAATATAAAATACTCCAGTGCATCTAATATATTTTCTCTTTGTTTAGATTTTCTTGTTTGTTGTTTGGTGTGGTTGTTCCCACTTCCCACTAACAGGTTAAATATTTGGTGGATTTGGTAAGATGTTGGGTTGACAACTGATCCTGCATGTTCAAATGAGATGTCCTTTTTGACCCACAAGAAAAGAAGTGAGAATAATAGCAAAGGACAATTTTCAATTAAAAAGATTTTTTTTATTATCGTGAGATAAAAAGCACTAGTTTATTATTGTTGTTGTTATGTTATGATAAATTTCAATCTCAATGGCGATAAAAAGTGGACGCACAGGGAGAGGAATAGAAGTGGAGAAACCCCTCGCCGGCATCGCCCATGAACATGGCTTATGTGAGAGAATAAAACAGTTTGAATTGTTTTAAAATATTACATCCTGTTTTTAGTATAAAAGTTAATTAACTTATTTAAGTATATTAAAAAAATTTGTTAAGTTGGTTAATATTAATAAATAGATATTATCATCCCTAGATTGCTTTTGTTAATTATGTGTATTAGTTAGAACTATCATTTGATAAAATCTTTAACAAATACAATGACTACAGTTACTACTTAAAAAAAAATACGAGAAACAAAGTGGATTAGGATATTATATTTAGGACTAAATTAAAAATTAAATTAACTCTTATATTAAAAATTAAAATTGTATATAATATAAAATTATTAATACTGATTGGAAGGATTAGGGGTTTGGAATGGGGCCGGTAAAGATGAGAAGAGAGGCATTCTCTCTTTGCAAAATGGGTTTGGTATTTTACGCAATACCATTAAATATGTTACTTTTCTCTGGCAGGGTGGCTGGGGAAATTAATATTATCGAATATCTTGCTGATGAATGCTACCCCCCCTTCGAAATATAAACAATACTTGCAACTTGTCTTAAATTTTTATAACAATTTTTTTTATTTCATTAATTATCAATGTATTTATTATCTTTTTTTCTAAATCATCATCTCTCCATTATATATTCTCTCTCTTTTATAATTCTTTTTATTATAGTAATTTTTTTCTTTTATTTTCTCTCCCATAAATAAGGATATCTCAGATAAAGAACTTCTAATTTCTATTGATTTATTATCTTTAACCAATTTTAACTAAATTTTTTATCCATGTGATGAAATTCAAAGTTGCTTATAAAAAAAGATAGATGGAGTATAATAGTATAAATTAGATAGATGGATATGATCAAATGGGTTAATTTATTACCATAGACTGCCTCCGGTCTTTAATATAAGAGTTAGCTGACTAATTTGAGTAGATTAAAAAAACTTATTAAATTAGTTATTTGTAATAAACAGGTGTTGTCTTTCGTAATGTACTCTTGCTAATTATGTGTATTAGTCAGAACTATTGTTTGGTAAAACATTTAACATGTGCAACTATTACAAGGATTATTTTAGAAAAAATAGATTAAATATGAGAGATAGAGTGAATTTGGATTTTATATTTAGAATCAAATTGAATGTCAAACTAGCTCTTATATTAATCAGTAAGTTAGTATTTTGAGAACATCATTTGTTTATACATGCAACATAATTCTTCCGTTATGTTTTTTATAAAACAATTTTTAGAATATGTTGGTATTTCTATATTAAAAACGATTTACACAATATAAGCAATAATATATTTTTCCCAGAAAGGCATTTGAAAATGGGTGTTTTCAATTAATTAGGAAAAAGAGGAGTCAAACAGGAGTAATAATTTATGGGAAGGTAATATAATTTTAAAGATATCAATAATCTTTTTGTTTGTGTAAACAGGCAATTTTATATTGCAAAAATAATAGAGGGAGAATGTTTTAAGTGCTATAGGTATAATATTGACATTGAATAATAGGAAATGATAAGAAATTGGCACTTGGAACGCAATGGATGCGGAGAGTTTTGGTCCTAATTTGACCATTCGTTCATTCTAAACCATCAAACTTAATCCTTCCTCTCATCATTTTGCTTTCTGAACTTTTTGGATGCTTTCCATGTTGATATTCTAATTTACCTGCGGGTCTTGTTTGGAGTGATTTGTTTTGTTTCCTAAAAAATTCAGAAAAGAAAGAAAAGTGACGCAGGTCAATTACTTGAGTGGAAGCCAGCTGTTTTTCTATTTTTTTAATGATACCATTTGCATGCTCATTCTCTGATAGAATGTGAAAGATTCTAACTCCAATTGTATTTTTGTTGATGCCATAGAAGACATTAATTGAGCTGGTCATGTCTAAGATGTGATTTGATGGCCCGAATTCACCCTACAAATAGTAAAATACCTTTAAATTTACAACCATACTTTAAGCATGTTTCAGTGATTATTTAGATAGAAATAAAATTATAATTTTAAAAATAATTTTATGATATAAAAATAAATATGTAAAAAAATTGTTTTGATTTAAAAAAATATTTTTAAAAAACACTTTTGATTATATCCAATCATGGTATACTGTAGCGTTGCCGTGGTTTTATTTTTCCCCTAAAAAAACCCCATTATCTAATAAATTGTGGAGATTCTGATTCTAAAATGTTTTTCTTATACTATAAAGAGCGTGTTTGGCATTCACTTTTTCACAACATTCTTTTATATATTCACTTCGTATACTATAAAATTATTCTTAAAACTATGATATGAACTCCATCTAAATATCCTAGGTAAAGTCTCAAGATGTAATAAAATTATCACTCCTTCAAAATGGATTAATTATCAACATGGTCAAAATATTGTTTACTTCACTAATCAAATCAAAATGAACTGATTGTAATATATTTTTAATATTATATGTCTTGAAAAAACCATTCTCGAGGTACCTATCGGTTGGTACCTCTAAGTTTTTTCTCCGTATTGAATAATTTAATTTAATTTTGCTAGTTTTTGCATATGGTCTAATAATAATGTTGATGGAGAAAACTTATATTCTTCCGATCCTTACTATAAGACCTATTTAACTAATTTGATTAGATCAAGGAAATTAAGTAAGTTAGTTAATTATAAGAAATATGACACATTTTTTCTAAAACACTGAAATTATCTTTCTTAGTACCCCAGCTCCCTCTTCTACTTGATTATGGTTGAGGGAGTATCTATATGGTAATTTAGAGAAAATTGATAAATATAAGAAATGGGTCTTATATTTAGGACTAAAACCAACTCAACAATTGAGTCCTATATTAAAAACAGAAAGAGTAGCAATTAATAGTGTTAAAAGAATAAGATTACAATATTTAGTGTGAAGAAAAAACAAATAGGTCTCAGATTAAAAATTAAAGGAAATTATAGATACTTCGAGAATGATGTTTTTAAAATAATTCATAATGATGTTTCAGTATTGTAAATTTGTAATCTCTCCATTATAATGATAGGAGATGTCCGTTCGGTTCAATTCCACTGCACCATGCACGGCGATGCAACGGGAAAATATTAATTACATCGATAGGGTTTGGTGCGTCATCCAAGAAAAATGCAATGAATTAGTATTTTCTAACACTCGTAATTACTACCTCTTGTCTTTAATATAAAATTCTATTTGATTTTTATTTTGGTTCTAAATATAAAA